GGGGGGGGGAGGGGTAGGTGGAAGAAGAGGAGCTCCCCAAGCAGCCACCACACCAAACACACCTGGAGTAAAATAAGTTATGGGATGGAAAGTGCACCAAAGCCTGCAGTAGGGATTGGAGCCTCCCCTGGGATGCAGGGCCACCATCCCAGCAGGTTCCCTGGGGTGAGGGAAGGATGGATGGATGGATGGATGGATGGGGCAGGCACTCAGGTGGGAGGTGCTGAGAAAATGGCACTTGAGAAGGTTGCGAAGCTGCTGACACCTCCCAACAGGCAGGAGGAGGTAATAAGAGGGGGCTTAGGGGGGACAGGACCCTGCCACAGTGTCCCCCTTCCCCGGGCACGTTGTGTGTGTGTCCCCCTCACATCACACTGAGAGAGGAGGGTAAAAAAAATCCCATCTCCAGGGGGTTTCAGGATGGCTGGTTCCTGCCTGGGTAAGCAGGGGAACCCCAGCCCTGCTGCCCTCCCTGGGATCCTGGGAATTCCTGAGATATCCAAGGGCCCCCAGGGATTTTTGCTCCTGTAGGATTCACATTACTTTATCAAGGGGGGGGGAGGGGGGAAGAGGAGGATTTAAAAACAACAACAACAAAAACAAAGGAAAGAAGCAAGGTTGTAGCACCCGGAGCTGAAGTGAAATCCGAGGCTGGTTGGTCGGTTCCCGGGACACGTGGCAACATCACCCTGAGTCCTTGAGGACACAGCCCCTGATCCCGAAGAAATCCAGGTAGGAGAGAGAGGTGGGCACCCGGAGCACCCAAGGGAAGGGGCTGCCCAACCTCGTCCTCTGCTGGATGCCAGCAGGTCCCCCCAAAACCTCCCCCCCTGGGGTACCAGGGGCGCTCTGGGATCGAGGAGCGATGCTCTTCCCCTTTCCCAGCTTCCTGGGAACAGGAGCAAGGGGGGGGGTTAGGAGGTTTGGGATGACAGGAGGATGGGGTGTTGTGGTGGTTTGGTTTGGTTTTGGCTTTTTTTTTTGGGGGGGGGGTCAGCAGGCAGCAGAAGAGGCAAAGGGGTGTTTGAAAGAGAAGCCTGGTGGGCGGAGAGAGGAGGAGGGAAGGATCCAGCAGGGCATTTTCCAGCCAGCACACAGTGGGAAGGAAGGTTGGGAAGGGGGGGGACAGCACCAGGGACCTGCCACCACCTCCACCTCGCCAGGCTGGGGATGTGCAGAGGGGATGGGAAGTTGCTGCCTCTCCCGTGGTTCCCGCTCAAATATCCATCTGGAACTGAGCCTCGTCCCCTGGGGAAGCAGGAAAAGGGGAAGGGAGAAGCGTTAATCCCAGAGGAATCCCAGCCCCCAGCCCTTCCCGGGAGGGGGCTCTTACCCATGGATGGCTTTGGCTCCGTGTGGTTCAGGCTGCTGGTGCCCACCCGGGGCTCCTCGGGGGCCGAGCCAGGGCTGGTGACCCCGGGAATGTTGGGGAGGTGACAAGGAGGGGTCTGGGCCATGGGGGAATTGCGACGATCCAGCAGGAACTTGCGGTCGTAGATGATCCGGGTGCCTGGCAAAACAAGGAAGGGGAGATGAGAGGAGGGGGTGGGGGCAGATCCAGCTCGGCAGAGCAGGAGTTTCCCAGCAGGAAAAGCCCAGGAGAGACGTGGAAGGGGTTGGGGGGGGCGGTACAGGCTGAGCATTCGGGGCCACAGGAACATCCCCACGACCCCCCCCCAGCACAGGTTGTCCCCCCCAGAACCCGCAGCTGAGCCCTGGGCAACTCGTGGCAGGGTTGGGAATAACAACCCCGGGTCCCCAAATGTCCCCTCCTGCGTGTCCCTCGGGGGAACCAGGGATGCTCCTTAGGGTGCCCTAAGGGTGGTAGCACAGTGGTTTCTGTGAGAACATGTAACTGCTGGAACAAATCGTGATACTCTAGTGGGATGTTTGTGATGGAAGGTCTTTAAATTAGGTTTTGGGTGACTTTCCACATTATCTATCTGTCTGAAATGATACGGTGTGGCTGACAAGTTATTGGCCTCTGGTAAAACCTCATCAGAACTGCTATGGATGTGTTTATTGGTTTCTCCACAATTTTACGCTGTCAGGCTTTTGGAATTGAGGTTTCTGGCCCTCAAAAGACAAAGGGCAGATCAGAATTGTACTCCCATGCAGCGTTGTGTAAGATCTTATTCACATGGTGCTGCTTGTTGGCTCAGGGAAACAGCTGAAATTAGGTAGCCAAGACTACAGCCTACTCATTGAGTCTCTTGTCCAAGTTTGGTGCCGCGGCCGGGATTCGAACCCGCGCCCCGAGGCGCCCTCCCACGTGGTCTAGCGGTGAGGATTCCTGGTTTTCACCCAGGCGGCCCGGGTTCGACTCCCGGCGTGGGAAGGAAGGAGACAGGGAGGGGTTTTTTTTTTTATGGGGATGGGGGAGCGTCCCACCTTCTGGCTTCACCTTTTGGGTGAAAGGAGGTGGTGGGGAAAGGGGGTAAGCTGAGGGAAGGAGGGAGAAGAGGGGGTGTGTTGCTGGGTCCCAAATACAGAGAGACCTGGAAAGGTGGGAGTTCTGCACTCCCAGGGTTCCCAGGGCACCTCGGAAAATGGGATGTATCCCCACAGCCTGGGATAGAAAAGGGGTTGTATCCCCATGTTCCAAACCAGAAGAAGGGGATGTATCCTCACATCCCACACCAGGAAGAACAGGATGCATCCCCACATCCCACACCAGGAAGAACAGGATGCATCCCCACACCCCAAACCAGAAGAAAGGGATGTATCCCCACATCCCAAACCAGAAGAAGGAACTGCATCCCCACATCCCCGATGTGCTGACCCAGAAAGTTGGGAATCCCATGCCCCAAGGGCTATACCAGATGGCCAGGAAAGGGCTCATCACCATATCCCAAAGTACCAAGCCAGAAAGTTGGGAATCCTGTGCCTTGAAGGCCACTGAGGATAAATGGGAAAGGGGATGTATCTCCATACCCCAAACCAGAAAAGGGGACACATCCCTGTATCCCAAAATACCAGCCCAGAAAGTTGGGAATCTCCCATCCCAAGGGCTACAGCACCCCTGGATCACCAGGAGAAGGAATGCATTGCTATATCCCTGCCATATCCCAAAAATACCAACCTGGAAACTGGGGGACACCATAGCCCAAGAGCCCCTCCAGCCTCAAGATCACTGGGAAAGGGGATGCACCCCCATATCCCTCCCCCCCCCCAAAAAAAGCAAAAAGCTGGGAATTTCCTACCCTGAGGCCTATGCCAGCCCCAGGCTCCCTCCTTCCCTCCCTCCGTCCCTCCCTCCCCTGGGAATGCTGATCCCAGGGGTTATTTTTAGCACCCCTCTCCCGAGAGGCCGGAGCAGCAGGTTTCTCCCTCCAGCCCTGGATCTCAGCAGTCCAAGCAGATTCCCGGCGGGATCAGGTGCCCTCATGCAGAGGAGGATGGGGGAGGCAGTGGCCAGGGTGGCCAGGAAGGTGAACCACACGGTGGAGAACAAAACAGATTCCCTGGGTAAGCTCCAGCTCCCAACTCCCGCCCGGAGAAGGATCAGGTATCCGGGAGTGGGGATATTTTTGTGGCTGTCTCCTAAAAAAACAGCTGTTGGTCCCAGCTCTGGGTGCTGCTCCCACACTCTCAGGGAAGAGAAAAAACACCCCAAAGGGCTCTTCACCCTCCCAGAATTGGAGTGGGATCCCAGGGATGGCACATGATCCCATGGGATGTGCCCCAGGGATGGTTTTTCCCTCGCAAGGGATGGCAGGAGCATGGCCACAGAAACTGCTCCAGCCTCAGCAGCAGTGGAGGAGACCACCCTGCACTGCTCAAACTTCTCCAGGGGTTTAAGGACACAGGGAAGGGCAATTCCTGAAGTTGGGATGTTATTAGACATGGGCTAAAGGGGTTTGCAGCCTGGAGGTCGATGCAACGTGACTTGGGGCTGAAGGCACCTGAGGTGGAACCAGCTTAGCCTGGCTGGTCTGGGGCTTGAGGAGGGGATTGTCCCCCTGTGCTGGGCACTGGGGAGGGGGCACCTCAATTCCAAGGTCAGTTCTAGGCCCCTCAGGACAAGGAGGACATGGAGGGGCTGGAATGTGTCCAGAGAAGGAGCTGGAGCACGAGTCTGAGGAGCAACTGATGGAGGTGGGGATGTTCAACCTGGAGCAAAGGAGGCTGAGGGGAGACCTGCTGGCTCTGCAACTGCCTGAGAGGAGGTGGAACCAAGAGGGGACAGGCTCTTCTCCCAAGAAAGATGGGATAGGACAAGAGGAAATGCCCTCAAGTTATTCCAGGGGAGGTTTAGACTGGATATCAGGAAGAATTTCTTCCCTACAAGGGTCATCAGGCCCCAGCCCAGGCTGTGGTGGGGTCACTAACCCCTGGAGGTGTTTGAAAGGTTGTGCTGAGGGACACAGTTTAGCATCAGACTCAGCAGAGTTGGGTTGATGGTTGGGCTCCATCTCCAAGGTCTCTTTCCAACCAAAGCAATTCTCCAACTCCAAGGATCCCCTTGGGGCTGGGGAGGAGGGTGGGTGCACCCATGGGTGGCAGCACCCAGGTGGGCAAACCAGGCCCTGAGGGGTTGGAAAACAAAGACAGCAAACTTTGCTCCATGCCAGCCAGGAGAGGTTCTGAGGTGCCTTGGGTCTCTCCCTGTGGGCAGACCTGGCCAACTGCAAGCTGATGACCTTCCCTGTGGGCATCTACAAAGCCATGAGGAGCGTCACCGAGGGGATCCACCACATCTCCCTGGCAAACAACGAGCTCAAGTCCCTCACCAGCCGCTTTGTCGCCACCTTCAGCCAGCTCAGAGGTAAGGGAAAGCCCCCAGCACCTCCCAGCAGCCACTTCCCAACCCCCAGCACCTAGAAAAGAGCTCCAGAGAATTTCTCCACCACCCTCTTGCTCCTCTCCGCTTACACCTCATGCCAAGCACCAGCTCAGACCCTCAAAAAGCCATTTTCCCTTGCCTTTCCCAGCCCTTTGCAAGAAGAGGACACTGGGTTTGCTCTCCTGCACCCCTTCCCACCTCCAGCCACCCTCAGGGGTGGCCAAACTGCTGCAGGGTCCCTCATCACCCTCCAGCTGCCTCCAAGGGTGGGGCTGGGGATGACAGAGGGTGGCAGGGATGGAGCACTGCAGGCTGCAGAAGGTCTGCTGGTGGCCCCAGGGCAGGTTGGATGGGGCTTGGAGCAACCTGGGCTGGTGGGAGGTGTCCCTGCCCATGCAGGGAGGTTGGAACTGAGTGGTCTTGAAGGTCCCTTCCAACCCAAACCAGTCAAGGATCCAGAAAATCCAGAGCTCAGGAACTCTGGGGTCTGCACTGGGGCTCCTCCTGCCGGCAGCACCATCCAGGACTCTGGCAGCTTTTAAAAACCCATCCATTTTCCTCACCCCACGTCCTGCACGAGTGCTGAGGTGGTGGGTGCCAGGAGAAGCTTCCTGGGTTGTGCTGGAGCTGGAACATCACCCTTGAAAACACCCAGGAGAGACTGGAGCAAAGCAGCAGGTTGAACAAAGAAATCAATGTTCATTTACTGGACAGCACAGGGAGCTTGAAAGGCGGGGTGGGTGGGGGGGCAGGGAAATTTTTTTCCCAGCAAGGGCTTTGAACAAATCACCCAGGTGATGAAGATGCCAGGCCTCAGCAGGATGCCAGGGTCACCCAGGGGCTGGGAACAGCCTGAATAAGGCAGGACCTATAAATACCAGGTATGAGCAGGGGCAGCTCATGTGGGTATTTATAGAGCAGCAAACCCTGTGGCACCCGAGAAGGACAGAGGGATTTGGGTGCCTGTTCCCATGGCTGAACAGCCTCTCCTTCAGGACCTCATTTCTGGGGAAAGGGGGGTGGAGGAAGAAAAAGCACCACAGGGGGTTCAACTCCAGATATTAGATATTTTTTTTGCATAGAAACGCATTTCTTCCACCATAGCTCAGGCACAGGGAGATGGAAAACCAGCCTCAAGCTGTGCCAAGCACCCAGCAAGGTGGGAATGGCACTGACTTCAGGAAGAAATATGACTTGTTCCCACAGCCCCTGCTTGCTGGGCTTTCATTAGGGAAGCCTGAGGGAGCCAAGAATTGGATCAGTCTTTAAAGCAGAATCTGCAGCAGGATAAAGGATCATGGTACATCAAGGAGATGAGCAAAATAATCACCATCATCATCATCATCCTCCCTTTATTTTTTTTGCTTTGGAATCTCATTGCTAGACCTGGCAGCCTGTGGGGGATAGAGGCAGTAAATTCAGCACTGGATTAATGGTTTTTCACATCTTTTCTCCTCCCTTCCCACCACCAACCTCTCTTTCCCAAACTGGTAGAGCTCAACTTGGCAGGGAACTACCTGCACCGCCTGCCCGAGGAGCTCACCTCCCTCCGGCACCTCCGGGCCATCAATCTCTCCAGAAACAGATTCCGACGTTTCCCAGAGCCTCTGGCTGCTCTCACCAGCCTGGAGACCATCGACCTGGAAGAGAATGAGATCACAGGTGAGGAGAAGCTTTCCTGGCTGGCTGGAAGGATGGACATCGCCTCAGTGCCCATCCCGCGTCCCTAAGCAGGGAGGGAGGGAGGGTGGCTGGAAGTTTGGCTGAAGGTGCAGCATCCTGAGGGATTTCCGGCAAAAAGAGGATGAATTTGGCAAGGGGAAAAGGCAGCCTGGGGGCAGGGAGAATGTTAATTAGGCAGAGCCTCGTTAGCTGCTTGCTCAGGCTAAGGTTGGAGGTGCCTCCCCGGGTGAGGCTGTTGCAGGCGCCAGGGGGAAGAAAAAAAATCCAGGCCAATTCAAGCTGCTCCATTCCTCATGCTGGGAATCCAGGTCTCCAAGGCAGCTCCAGCTGGGACTCCAAATCACCAGATCTAACCCCCCAAAAAATAATCCAGACCTGACTGCAGAACTCAGGGCTGTTTGCTGCCAGGCAAAGCCAGGGCACAAGCCCACCTGGACATTTCCCAAAGCAAAGAGTAGCTGTAACCCTCCAAAATTCCCTCAAAACCAGCCAAGTTAAAGGGAACTGGGAAGAGCTGCTCATGTCCCAACCCTGAAGGCAGAGGAAAATCTTTCATGTGCAAAGCTGGAGCCTTTGGAGTCCCTAAAAGCTGAGCAAAAGGGGCAGCAGCTGCACATCCATAAAAGGGGATTTATTTTAGGAGCCAAGTTTCAAAGTGCCCAGGCTGGAGCATCCCAGATCCCCAGGGAAAGGAGTATCAAGCCCACTCCATTTTGCTCTCTTACCTGGGATGGTTTCAGCTGCTCCTGGGAAAGCACCAGCTTCATTAACAGCATCACATTTTCCCTGGCCTTGCCTCTAGGAGATATTAACTGTTGCTCCCAGGAGAGCCAGCAAAAAACGTGGCTTTTCCTCACCCCTCTTTTTCTCTCCCACTTTGATTCCCTCCATCACTCTCCCAGCCCCACTGCCCAACTTCCCAGCAGGAAGGTAGAAGCTGAGCTCTCCAGCTTTCTCATGACCTTCCCATGTGTGCAGCTGCAGGAAGGGAACACAGCTTTTCCTTCCATTCCACCCCCCCCCCCACCTTCCCTGCCTAAATGCAGGGAGGAAAGGATGTATCAAGGGTTGTATCCATTTGGATTCATCCTCAGGGAAAAGAGGGGAGGTAAAAAACCCAAGTGCCAGGCTTGGTCACCTCCCAGCAGCAGACTCAGGAAGAATAATCACCTAATAGAAATGAACAATTTCAAGTTAAAAATGTTCCAGGGCCATATCTTGTCCCTGAAAGGCAAGATTCCCATGTTTTGGAGATGAGCAGGATGCTGCCTGGCTGGAGATTCATCTAGTTGAGGCATGTTCTGGGAAGTGAAGAGGGAGAGATAAGAAAGGCAGGGTTATTGCAGCCCATTTTAGGGCAAGAAAATGAAAGTTCAGGTCACTGCATCACTCCCAGGAACCCTCCCCAAAACCTCATTCATACAACAACCTCTCCCAAACCAGACCATCCCAAAAGCTACAGCACCCCAAGTCCTTCAGCTCTAAGGAAAAGCATCTCCTCCCCAGTTTCACCTCCTGGGATGATGGGGAAATCTCCTGAGTTGCCCTCAGGCCTCCAAGGCTGAGCTTGCAAGTACCAAGCCCCTCAGGAAACCTGCAGCTGGGCTGTGAGCTGAGCCTTGGTGCCCATCATCTGCACATTCATTTCCACTTCTAATATGCTAATGCAGTTTTACATATTATTTATGAGCTTGTTTTTTTATAAAGACCATTTTCCTGGCACAGGAGAAGGAGGAGAGTTAAGGAGAACCCACTAGCTGGAATTTCACTGGCACAAGTGCTGGTTTTCCTTAAGAACCAAACAGAATTGGAGCCCTTCACCCTCGTGACACCCGAGGAGAGCTTAGGCCAGGCTGTAGGAGATGCCACCCTCCCTTTCTCACCCACCACAGCTGGCTGAGCACCCCATTTTGGGGTCTCACCAGGCCTCCACCTCCTTAGAGAAGCTTCTGAGGTACCTGGAAGCTCATCCAGGAGCTGCTTTCCCAACACCTCCAGCCCAGCATGGTGAAGGAGCAACCCTAGCACTTCAGAAACTGCATTTTGCTGCCTTTTATATAATTTAGGAGCCAGGTTACACCCCTGAGCCCAATAACGAGGTGAGGACCCTGCTCCAGATCACAAAACCCAACCAGGATGCTCCACAGGTGGGAGATGGAGCTTGGGGGTGGGTTGTGGGTGATCTGGTTGTGGGGTTTTTTTGGTGCTGCAGCAGCTGTGTGCAATTCCCTGCCCATCCCTGTCCTCCCAGGGATACTGGAGGAGCTGGAGCAAAGCTGATGCAAAAAAAAAAGCCCTTGCTGAAAAGGGGACTGAGTCACCTGGTATTGAACTGGAGATGGGAGGTGATGTTTCCCAGCTGAAGGGAAACAGGAGTGAAAGGAGATGAAATAATCCCTGCCTGGAGTCTGTGGGCTCTGAAAAGAAGCATTTAGTGCCATGACCTGCCCCTTTCATCTCAATAAGCTTTTAAAACTGGAGTGTAATTATATATATATAG